TAAAATTCCATACTTCTAATAAAACATTTATCGTATTAAGATTTTAACAAACAATTTCTGAAATATAACGCAGGTAATGTGTGGTTATATATCAACAGTTGCTCACTTATGCAACTTATTTCTTACACTTTTGGCATTTAATACGGACAAACATTCTCATCAACTTTATGATGGATATCCTTATGTCGGTAACAACCTTTAAGTTCTGTAGAAAATGTGCAGCAATCTCATAATATTAATTTTGCTTCCGTTTAATAAAAATTTTGGTATCTTTTTATGTTTATTGATGACTTAAATAAGGATCCGTATTTGCAATCCATACATACTATAGCATTTAATTAGCCCAGTAAAAGTCGAAGCACACATAAATTATTTTCCAACTTCATTGAATATTCGATTGCCATGATTATTGAACATCGAAAATGAATTTATGTCTTTTATTATTTAATAAAATTATTAATTTTTGCTTATCATCAAATAGAATTAAGAACAATACTACACTACTATCGGCTTAATGGTTTAAATGATACAATTTTTGAATAGGCTTTTGATGTGAAACATCTATTGACGCGCATCGGGGTTCGACCAACGCGATAAGGCAAACCGTACGATGGCTTGATTTCCGGTTAAACTTGGCTGGGTTCTCCTCTATCTCCTTCTCCGCATGTTTAATGACTATAGACACCTGTCACCCCTCTCTCGTTTATAAAGTATACTACCCGTATGTATGAGAATGTTTGGACCCAAACTCTGCCGCCTGCAGCGCTGCTGAGAAGAGTCATCATGGCGTCTTAAATGTATTTATAGATTTACAAATACATATGCATATCAACTGTTCTTGTATGTATTGAAAATATATGTGTACAAATACAGTCATAACCTTATGCCTGTATGTTAAGTACCCTCGACTCATGTATATACTTGTAAACAATAACGTGTCGGTCATCATTAAGTCTAGAAACGGTCAACACAATACCTATGTATATATATATATATATATTTTTAAAAAAGTTATTAGTGTTTCGTTAATTAATTCTCTAAAGTAAAAATTTGAAGTGTTGTTGCAAACTTTACTGCCAGTTAACCGACATTTCGCTTCGGTAAAAACATTGTATTTGACATATTTAATCATAACAAAAAAAATAATTTGATTTTTTTTTAATTTTTACGTTTTTTCACGAGAAATTGCATTTTGTAACTTAAACAATTGCAAATATCTCCGTCAATTTTGCATATTTTTGGTTGCAATAAATGGCATTGTATTCGTCATAAAAAAAGCTACGGCTGTCAGCTATAGCTATAGGTGTACCTAGTAGCATGAGAGAGGTACAGATGGGAGCGCTGAGCTGCCTTGGCTGTTAAAATGTTACTTTCTTGANTGATTATTTTTGAGTGCTCTAATAATGTTAAAGTCGTGTAAAATTGTGTTTTGAAGTTCGTTTTGCTTACATTTTTAACGGCTTAATATATGGAAAAAATAAAAATACCAGCGTATAGTGCAGCCACTGATCGTATACTAATGCGTTCGCTCTCTCTCTATTCGCTTCATGCAGCAATTTGAAACAACGCCACTTGCAGAAGAAAAGGTGTCAATGCTAACTAACAAGAATACATAGAATCTTATGCACAATTATCTGTTACAATCGTTTATTTTAACAGTGATGTATATTTAACCACTAACGTAACTTTTTGGGGTGTAAGGTACACTTTCAATCAAAAAAATACCTATTTAATAGTACCTTAATGAAAAAAAAAATTCTTTCTTCTTTCATGGTTGTCTTTTGTTAGTGAATATAGCGATTATTCTTAAATATTAATTTATTTCGTGAAGTACTTTGAAATCAGCCAATTAAAATGTAATATTTATTATGCTTACGAATACATTATATCCATTTCATTCAAGAAATTTACTTTGTTTTATGAAATAAAAAGAAAGTATTATTTGCTAATTATGTGCTATTTAGGACTGAAAAAACTTAATTTAGTCATTAAATACTCATTATTGTTGAAATAAGCACTTGCAATCTATCATTGTCTATCTGATGTTGTATATTTTTGTTAGTTAGCATTGACATCTTTTCCCCTGCTGGTAGCGTCGTTTCAAATTGAAGTACGAAGCAAATTGTACTTATACAGGTAGGCCTTTTTCATTGTTTATTTTGAATGTATTGCGCTTGTAGAAAATAATAAATTAATATAAGAATGAATAACATTTCTTTATCATCTTAAGAAAATTTCTTCTTCGTTAACAGGATTATTTTTAAATATTAATATTTGACCATCATGCAAAGTTTTCCCGGTTTTCATTCAAACTCCATGTTAACCCGTCTTTAGTAAAGAGCCAACGAAATTCGCGCACGTCCGCAACTACGCACAGTAAACAGATATCCGAAAAGAGACAGAGATACAGAGAAAGTAATACACATAAACGTTTGTTAAACTTATGTATGTAATTATGTGTAGGTAGGTAGTACAGATACTCTTAACCATGTATTATCGTTTTTTGTCGTTCTCATTGTTTATATGTTAATAAACCAAAAATTATAAACATAATTTGCTTAATCTATAATATTCACTGATAAAAATACATATTTATAACTAAATCGTCTTTCAAATATAAAAATATGAAATAAATGTTATTTAGAGTCAGAAAAATGAATAGTTTTCCTACCTCGGGCGTTTTAGAGAGGCTGGTGTGCGCTCGATAGAAAAAATAGGATTCGCCAACATAAGTGCGATTGCTTCGTGGCTACTGTACGTTCCTTGGGTGCTGATTTGCAGGGCCCTCGGGCCGCAAAATAGCCCCGGAGACGATGGCACTTATCTAACGAAAACTAATACTTTCATCATAGACAATCAAATACTACCGAGTTGAATAACATATTCTTTAATGTTTTACATCTATTGGGGATCCCGAGACCGACACCTGTTTTTTTCTTTTATATTTTTATCTGCTTGTGTTTATACAAAATTTTTGGCTTGTTTCTTACATTTTCTTTCATAATTCACAGTTCAGGGTCGCGATCCTGTGAAGGCTCTGGGTCAGGTACTCTAAGTACTCTCATATAAATTCAGCTATTCACGATCTGAAACATACCATCTAGGCTACGAAGTCTCTAACTCAAGGCTCACCAACGTAAAAACTTAAATACAAGCAGAACGATGGATGTAATTTAACGAGACGAGTCTAAGTTTTTATATAATCTTTACTGATATTATTACACTTCACCAATCATTTTTGTATTGCCGTATCCTTTGATATATTATACTTTTAAGTTATACCAAACACTTAAATTCAAAAAAATTTTTTTATCATTAGACATAACCTCTATTTTTGATGGACATTGTTTTTTATTTTACAATTATCAGTATTCTTATTACTTTTTAATGGACATTGATTTTTATTTTACAATTATTGATTTGTGATCAGCAATGGAAAACATATATTNTCAGAGTCGAGATCTATACAAAGAAATTAATTTTGGCCCAGTCATGATTTTTTAGCCGAAGATATAGTTTGCTTACACTATTGTAAGTAGAAGAGCAAGTAGCAGTGAGAGCAATGAAAAGTACGTATCCCACTAGTAAATGCCTTTTTTGGTTAAAAAAAAACATTAAATACGTTCAAGTTCTCTGTGCTGTGCTAGATGCTGCTGCTTCTCATCATATTAACGGTTGTTGTATTCTATGAAAGATTATAACTGATATTGAGAATAGTATCCTGTCAGATTATCGTACCGTGTTCCCAGATGTATCCATATCCTGTTGCATTATTCATCTTAAGCAGTCGTTGTAGTGTAAAAGTCAAAATCTTGGGTGAGAACAACCTTATACTGATCCACAAAATAAGGATATACAAATTCAAGTTTACGTAATAGCCACACTTGCTTAGGAACGTACTGAAAAAGTGGTGCGTATGTTTGGACTGTTTGGACTGTTAATTAGATGCGGCAAAATCTGTCATTGAGTGGAAAAAATTTCTGAATTTAATTTTTTTGCAGGATTACATTTGGAACAGGCTCCTAAACTTAATTCTTAAACTTATTACCAAAGCTAAGAGTCAGTTTTTCAAAAATACAAATGTAGTTTTATAAGTCCTTAGCAATACAAAAAAAATTAATATTTTGTCATGTAATTTTTTTTGAAGTTATACTTCCATAGGCGCGTTCTGCCCTACGAAGTAAATCAAAGATTTCAGATTGGTGACCTTAAGAAAAAGAGTAACGGAAGAGGACTTTTCTTCATTCGCCCCTTTCGACCCGCCCCCTCTTGACGTACTTCCTGTCCCTCTACACTCCACAACGCCACCATACCATCCCACCACACTACAGCACACATGTTAAATTTCACTTATTTTTTTTAAAACCAATTTCAGAAAAAAAAAAAAAAAAGAACAGTTTTCCAATAGATTTGAGCCTCCGACCTTTAGCACACTGGGCGAGCCCCTTACCCAATCTGCTATGTTAGTTTTTACGACTGTAGATAATTATATATTTAAAAAAATTACTAGCTTTTTAAACTAAGACTGTAAATTTAAGTACAAATACATAATGAAACACGAAATTTTACTAACTATGGAAATAAAAAATGTAAGCTTAGTATTTACATGTTAGAAATTATATTTTTCACCAATTCAATACAAAATAAATTTGATTTCCAAACCTTTTAAAAATAGCAGATGAAATTAAAAAAAGATTATCATCTACATCAACTAGGTGTGACATTAAAATAAGGTAAATCATAGATGTATTAAATACAACTTTAAATTCTTTGTCACAAAAGGGACAAATTATATACTGACTATCAGGATATTCAAAATTTTACTAAATTAAAGTTTCTATAATATGTACCATTGTTCAAATATTTTATCATGAAAACTTTGATGGTACTTTACGCACTAACATTAAAAATTACATTCAAAGCTCTCAGAAAATACTATATAAAGCTGTTTTTACTGATTATTAAGAAATGTTAGAAGTCAATTCAACATAAAGTGTACTTCAACTGATGAGATCCTCATTTTTCCGAAGCATTTTTAAATGCAGCTCGTACTCACGCGCTTTTAATCGCAGAGAAGCTATACTGTTGCTTCGACGATCCAGGTCAGGATAAGTACTATTTTTAGTAATGATTGTGGAAATTGATTGCGATGATCTTGACTCAGTTATAGTAGAGTCTGGCTCAGATAAATGCAAAGATGGTATAACTTGTGCTGGTAATATTGAAGCTGATGGTGAGTGTAGATGTGTAATAGGCACTGAAGAACTGCGCATAAGCTTGGGCTGGAGGGATGTTGAGATACTTTCAAGAAAAGTGTGAAAAGAAGGATTTTGTTTATATGATAAGGATATGCCAGGCTGTAAAAGTGTTGTAGGAATGCAGTGATACTGATTAGCAATATTATTCTCAGGAACAGAAGCAGAACCGTGACTCAAGGATGAGTAGTGAAAGCCTTCTAAGGACTTCTGAAAATTTAAATTCTGTAAATTTACAACAGAACTAGAAAGAGAAGAAGCACAAACTGTTGCTGTTGAAGTATTTCCTGATTCAACATATGGATTATAAGGATGTGCTTGCGGGCCAACTTTTTCTTGCTTGCGCCATTTTGCTCGCTGGTTTTGAAACCACACCTGGAACAAGATAGTTATACTTAATTTAACAAACACATGAAATTTTAACATTTAAAAATTAATTTTTTTTCATACTATTCTTTTACGGTCAAAATGTTTATGGTACAGCTGATAGTTATTTTATACAAATGATGAGTTATATGCACCAGGCATATGCCAAGTAACATTACAAGGCAGTTTACCTAAAAAGTGTAAAAGAAAAACTGGCAGTAAGTGCAATAATAGAACCAGTTTGATAACATTATAATGCAAATCTAAGTAAATTTCATAACAAGAAGTGCGTAAGGCATTTGAAAGTATCTAAATTTATTTGATTATTTTTTTCCAAACAATTCACTAAGAATTATTAAAGGCTCACATTTACTGCAATAAAGCGCAACAAAACTAACATAACATTTTGTTTAAATCAATTCTTAGCTAGCATAAAAAAAATTATTAATTTATCTCCAGATAACACAAACTTATTTCAAAAATTTTATTTATATTCGTAAAGCACGATGTAAAATATTCATAAGTATCTTAGTATCTAAGTTCTTTTTCTTTCAATACAAGTAGTTTCTGTGATTCTTTCAAATTAATTATATACACGTGACTTCAAACGTATATTAAATTTTATTTTGTATAACCAACACACTAACAGATAATTGTAAGTGTTTTTTAAGTTATTGCTTTTTTGATGCTTAAATCATACGTTAATTAGGTCTTGCAACACACAGTTTTTCTCTGATTTAAATAAATAAGTTATGTGATAAGTTTTTTTATATTCAGCAAGCTATTTTATGACATAAAAAGTTTTCGTTTTATCAAGCTTTTTATAAAACTCCCTTGTAGGAATAAAATATTATAAATTCAATGCTAATACACAAGAAAAATGTTTTAATGGCTGTTTAAACACCGTATAACTATAAGATCAAGATTGTTTTTAAAATTTATTTCACACAAATAAGAAAATGCTTTTCTTAAAACTTTATTTTTCGTTACAACATATTTTATAAATTCATCAAGTCACATTTTTAATTTAAGAACAATAAAAGATAACTTAACGTAATAAAAATCTTCGTTCTCATTGTTTATATGTTAATAAACCAAAAATTATAAACATAATTTGCTTAATCTATAATATTCACTGATAAAAATACATATTTATAACTAAATCGTCTTTCAAATATAAAAATATGAAATAAATGTTATTTAGAGTCAGAAAAATGAATAGTTTTCCTACCTCGGGCGTTTTAGAGAGGCTGGTGTGCGCTCGATAGAAAAAATAGGATTCGCCAACATAAGTGCGATTGCTTCGTGGCTACTGTACGTTCCTTGGGTGCTGATTTGCAGGGCCCTCGGGCCGCAAAATAGCCCCGGAGACGATGGCACTTATCTAACGAAAACTAATACTTTCATCATAGACAATCAAATACTACCGAGTTGAATAACATATTCTTTAATGTTTTACATCTATTGGGGATCCCGAGACCGACACCTGTTTTTTTCTTTTATATTTTTATCTGCTTGTGTTTATACAAAATTTTTGGCTTGTTTCTTACATTTTCTTTCATAATTCACAGTTCAGGGTCGCGATCCTGTGAAGGCTCTGGGTCAGGTACTCTAAGTACTCTCATATAAATTCAGCTATTCACGATCTGAAACATACCATCTAGGCTACGAAGTCTCTAACTCAAGGCTCACCAACGTAAAAACTTAAATACAAGCAGAACGATGGATGTAATTTAACGAGACGAGTCTAAGTTTTTATATAATCTTTACTGATATTATTACACTTCACCAATCATTTTTGTATTGCCGTATCCTTTGATATATTATACTTTTAAGTTATACCAAACACTTAAATTCAAAAAAATTTTTTTATCATTAGACATAACCTCTATTTTTGATGGACATTGTTTTTTATTTTACAATTATCAGTATTCTTATTACTTTTTAATGGACATTGATTTTTATTTTACAATTATCAGTATTCTTATTACTTTTTAATGGATATTGTTTTTTATTTTACAATTATCAGTATTCTTATTACATGAAGTTTGCATTAATTCCTTAAGACTTGAGTAAAAAAACGAATTTTTTTTTTTAATTGAAACAGTGTTAGTTTTTACGACTGTAGATAATTATATATTTAAAAAAATTACTAGCTTTTTAAACTAAGACTGTAAATTTAAGTACAAATACATAATGAAACACGAAATTTTACTAACTATGGAAATAAAAAATGTAAGCTTAGTATTTACATGTTAGAAATTATATTTTTCA